TAGGTTGGAGGCCATTGGTGCCATCGCTAAGCGATGGGAGGCCATCATTATTAGGTTGGAGGCCATCGCTATTAGGTGGGAGGCACTTGCTATTGGGTTGGAGGCCATTGCTATTACTTGGAGTACTTGGATATCTTGGATCTTTAAGCCGCGAAGCCGTGACTTTGATCATTGATCCTGATGCATCAGACGCTTCAAATGCTTCATGCCCGGCTTTGCTTGACAGCCTGCTTCTACCTGGTGTGCCGCATCAAGTCAAGCAAGGTGGAAATCACCGGTCTTCTGACTTGATTACTTTATATAGCCTGCTCAAAGCCATGCATTCGACTGACCAATCTCAAAAGACATTCTTCAGGGCATCATTGACTGGATCCCTGAGTCTGCCACCATCAGGGTCAGAGCTGAAAGTGTCACCAAAGGGCATCTCATCCGCCTGGTAGTGAAAGCCAATTAGAAACTGAACCTTGTCCAATCATGGGGTTTGTTTCACACAACTGGTCAAAAGACACAAACGTATTCTCGAAGGTTCAAGAGATGATCTCATGGGTTCTGGAGGGGTACTTTAAAACATAGTAAAAAACAACTCCACAACAACTTACTGTATATAGCTTGTATCATGTCCTGATCCGAGACGCTCTTGATTTGAGGATAGATGCGATCTTCACGGTTGGCGACGTTGGGGATGCATCAACGGTTCGCTCATCCCTTACTTGGAACACCCTTCCTGAGCTCACCGCGTCACAAAGTAAATCAGCATCTCTCTCTCTCTCTCTATACACACTACTTTTTTTAGGGAAACGTGCCTAGAAAATCCTAGAAATGACTTTCTGAACTGAACTCATGATACACCTACAATATTTTTGGATGCTTGGACTGGGCATTCTTGTCCATTTTGCAGTAATGCACGCGAACATTCCACACAAAAATCAAGCTGAAATTGTAGCACCTTGTGCACCTTCAAATTCTGTTTGGTCTGGAGTGATGAGTTGCTGGCTGGAACTAAGAAGCAAGCTCCAACTGGATTGACGTGTCCTGAACTACTTCCTGCTTCTACACCCAAGTACGGGCTCATCTCACCTATCGAACTTTTGCCGGAATTTGTTGAAATGCTCAACATATGGGAGCTCTGGGTGTGATCACTTCGACGTGCATTTGCCTATTGAAACTGATTTCCCAAGGCATGGGACCATTGGGGACACTTCCTGAGAAATCAGACACCCTGTGTGAAGTTTCAACTTCAACGGTGCCTGGGTCTATCTTTCTCAAAACACGGTCGGCAGCGGCAGTGCAACTAAAACAAACAGATGCCGTGACAACTCCATTTCGGAACTCCCTCGCGTATCTACGTGTTTTAATTGCCAGAATTCGGCGCACCTAGCTTTGTGACCAGTTGGGTGGTGTTCTGATGAAGCGCAAGTGAATGAACCGTTCACCGAGTCACTTCAACAATGCGCACGACCAAAACAAGGACATCCGTTGGCAAAAAAATTAGGGATCGTTCCGTGCAAGGCTTTAGCTGCACCAGAGATTTTTTAACTTACATCTTCACATATCCAGATTTGCACATCTTCACATCTCATTCTCTCTCTCTCTCTCATTCTCTCTTGTCTCTCTATCATTACCTTTTTTCTCCCCCTCCTCCCCTTTCGTTTGTATTTTTATTCTTTCTTAAGCCGGGGGTAATGCCGACGAGGCACCATGAAACGCGACCCTTTCGCATGAAGTGCGTGTCATGTGTTAAAGCCGGGTGAAACAAACGATTTCCAATCGTCCGCGGCAACCCTTTCGCTCGAAGTGCATGTCGAGTCAAATTGTCGGCGGCAGCCCTTTCGCACGAAATGCGTGTCAAGTGTCAAGTGTCAAAAGCTGACGAAAATTGCAACTTCGGTGAGTCAGTGGCAAGCCTTTCGCGCGAAACTACGTGAAGGTGGATGTTGCCAAAGTGTGTATAGCTGTTGTCGAAATGGGAACTTTATAGTACGCATGTAGTACAGGCAGTGGCTTCTGGGCTGTAGCCTCAGAAATAGCAATTTTGTAGTGAATAGTAGTGCTGGCCTCAGAAGTGACAATTTTGTAGTGGAAGCAGCTTTTGGGAGCCGTGGCCTCGGAACTGGTAACTTTGTAGTGCATGTGTAGTGCAGCCAGCAGCTTCTGGGAACTTTGGCCTCAAAACTGGCACCTGGTGTTACATAATTGTTATATCTAGTCTGCGTGAGTCCGTGCCATTGGGGGAACGGAAGCACGATGGCGTAAACGCGGCGTGTCGCTGGGTAGCGGGATGATTGGCAGTGTCAACAAGGCCTGGTGTAGACACCTGTGGACGATGCGACAAGTAGAAAGACGCGTGATCCACAGTTGTTGTGATGCAAAATACGAAACTCATATTGAACAACACCACAACGTATGTATGTTATGTTAGCATGCATGCATGTGTGTTTCAACGCTCTCGGGCCATTCGTCGTCTAGTTGTTGATTAGCGCTTAGTCTAAGCTCGAACTTGACAACCATCCTCTGCAGTGTGCTGGAATCAAGATGATGGTCAGTCGAAACCAACCAAGTGTCTAGGCTGATCTGCCAAAGACAAATGACATTCAGCTCGTTCAGGGGCTCCAAGAATGATTTCTAGCATTCCTCGTTGAATGCTCGTCGCTTGTGCAAAGACTAAATGCATCATGCCAATCAAACCTGCAATCAAGCGCGCCCAAGTGTCGTTCTTGGTTTTCAAAATATTGCCAAAGTGACTGTGTCAACCTCAGAGGTCAGGAAAGTAAACAGTAAGTGTATCTAGCATACAGCATCGTGCTAATGTCATGCTGAGCGAGCATTCCAGCTGCCAAAGAACCTTTTTGCTACAGGTTGAACATGGCACGAGCATGTCACCAAAGGCAAGGGCGCAAATTGTCTTCAGAATGGGCAGAAATTGAAAGCCATGAATCCCATGCATGGGTTGAGAATCGTATGACTCTTTCATTATCTTTCAATGGTTCGACACAAACTGCCAGCACTGCGCAGTACTGGTGTTGGACAACAGGAGTCCTAGATCTTTCAAGCAACTTTTTCTATTTCAACCTTGTGTGATATCATATCCATAGTACAAAAATCACTAATGATACATGTCCAGTTTTGTCTACATTCTATATACATAAACACATTATACATTCGGATGATATGGGATTTAGAACACATACAGTACACGGGAATTCACACAGTCCCAAGTCATCTGCCTTATCCCCTTTGTGTCCGGAGTGTATGAATCCAATGCCATCAGGCAAAAGAACCAACCACAAAATAATGCGAAGCACCAACAGATTGCCCATGCAACCCAAACGGCTACAGTAGGCGCCAACACGTTTTTGACATGATATAGGACTTACCCATACTGGCCCATACTTACCCTACTATATTTCTCATGTCACTTGACTTGACGCCACTCCTGTACGCAGTATGTCTAGTTTCGGAGGCTGCCTTCGTACCTGCAGCGAGGCACATGGTGTTGTGCTTCCGCCATTCTGCCCAGGCAACATCTTTCCAGTCTCTTGGGTCCATGTCCTCGAACTGCTGGAACTGTGCACGCTTCCTCAAGGGTGAGAGTCAGGCCACCAGGTGCAGCAAAACCACACACATATATATATATATATTATATATACAATCTTAGATTCTTAGATCTGAGTGTGCTCTCCTTCCGTCTTGAAGTTTGCTCAAAGCCAACGCTCTACCACCATTACTAATTGGTACCACGTCATGAACCGACGGTGGGGTTTTCATGTCTTCTCTGCCACTTAGACAGGGGTGGGGAGGGGGTGGGGGTGAGGGAAAACTCCTCCGCAGCAGTCACGCGGTTTATCTTTTGTACCGACCTAGATCGGACTCACAGTTGACAGTGCATACTGTAATGAACGAGTGGAGCGAAGTGAGCGAACTGAATTGCTGGCTTTTCCAGCTGCACGCACAAGACCCTGATTCAAACTATGTCGGTGTGAAAGGGAGCCTTGCGTAAGCGGATAACATGTAACCACGATTAACCACGGCTCAATCAACACTGAAAGGGGCTCCAAAAAGGAAAACAAGGGATGAGGAGAAGAGGATCAAAGTTACAAAAGTGCCGTGGAGGGATACTCACAAAGAGACTGTCTGTGCGAAAGCGAGCATCTGCTGGCTTTGGTGCTACACGCACTAAACACCTTGAGTTATTTATGGCGATGTGAGGAAGGCAACAGCATAAGATGTAAGCATGGTTCAAACATGTTCAAAGAACACGAAAGGAGGCCCCAGAGAAAAAAAAGGGAGGAGGGGGATATCTCCATTCGGATCCAACTCTCAAAGTCTGGCCAAATGACGAATGCTCTTACCTTGGGTGCGCTACAAAAGATATGGTTAGTTGGCATGCGTACAAAGGGTGACCTGAAGAAGCTGTTGAACAAGAAGCATGTGGTCTACCTCAAAACGCTGGTTCCTGGTTCTGGTGCAGGTGAGATGAAATTCGCATAGATTGTATCCTAAGCATGTATGTGTGTGAATAAAACGACTCCGACATTCAAAAATGCACCCGGTCAGAAAGGGGCGTGGCGCCCACTAATTAAGTCTAACTCTTGCATTTCTTCATCTGAACGAGCTCCACCTGACTTTGTCCAAATGAGGATCACGGCTTCAAGGTTCAAGAGTGCATGGGATCACCGTTTCTGCATCGGAATGTAACAATCAAAACATCTATGAGCCTTGCTGTGTATGAAGCACTTGCTTATATTGCACATTCATCATTGATCACATATGGTTGTACTTTTGGCTCTTGTTTGCTACTGTTCGCCTCGTGATTACTGGCCTTTCTGAGAAGCAACCTTCTGTCAACACTTTTTGACTATTGGTCCACACGGAACAGCTAGAGCCATGAATTGCGAGAACTCCCCGCTGGCAACAAAATGGGACGACAGAAACAGCCTCACTACAGCCTTGCGACTCTCAGTAATTTCCATATCCATGCTTCAACACTGCAAAAGAGGGGCCTTGCGTGGGAAAATACCAGGACGAGGCCGGAAGGACTCTTTGGGAAGCTGCGGTGGCACCTCAAAGTATCGAAACAAAGCACAAAGTGAGTGACTCAGCTTGATTACCATAACCACTAGCACCACAACGACCATCACACGAAGGCAGTGCCGATTTGTTTCTTTGAGGCCTGGAGCATCGCTGTGAAAGGAACCCCTCCTGGATGCCAGCCTCATATGACTCAGGTGGAATCATGTGAATTTCTGTTTGAATAGCGGAAAGACAGCGATATGGCGATACTCATGTTCATCAGATTCTCACAACGTACTGAGATCCAAACGCTCCACAGGCTTTGCCAAATCTGAAATCACCGCCTTGAGTAATAGAAGCTATAAAGAAATAGCACACAATTTAATTAAGGCCACTTCGCAAACACTTGGAAACATAACGTTTACTTGCTTTGATGTGACCAGCACTTTTGCACCATTCGCCCAATCAGCAGTAGAACATGTGCCACAAATAAGTCAGTTTCAAAAGGCATTTATATATACTGGTATATAGATACTGGTAGCAATCCCTTGATGTCAAACCAAATGACTGCCCCATGTGTCACTGTCTATCGCTGGAAGCATGTTGGGCCCTACTACCATATCTGCTCCTTCCAACTTGTGCAACCGGAAACATCAATTGACACACTGCAAACCAGTGCAAACTAGCTGCCATGTAGCCATTGTGAGAACGAGCGGCCAATACAGCCGCAGTTCCACCTAAGCAAACGGTCTGAGCAACAAAGCACTTCAATTCCAATCCAGCACTCTGCTGCCCCACCCAATGCGTACGCATAGTCGCTATCAAAGTCCGAGGGCATCGAGCAACGTGCCTCTACCAAAAGCAAAGTCTGTGTTGAAACTGCAAGACACTGACATAGGCAAAACATTGCAAAACTTCACCAACACTCTTCTCCACTCACTACACCAACATTGCAAAACTTCACCAAACTCTTCACCTTTCTGCACTTGCTGAAAGGTCAAACAGGCCTGGTATCCGAGGAACTGGCAAACAGGAGAAAAACTTCCTTTGAAGGTTCCCTGCAAGTTTGGGACAGATTTAACATGATTTAACACCAAGATTGCAAGTGAAGCCCTGGGATGCTCAACTGTTTGTGCAAATCTTCAATGCAACTCAATGTGAGCCACAATGCACCTTCTTTTTGCGTTGTTTCAGCTCATCTTCCACCTCGGTATTATAAACTACATTGAACCACACTCGTGCACTGTCTGACAACGTTAATGACGCCCGCATCATTCATTGATTCACAGTTGAACCCAACATGCCACACTTGGCCGTTGTGGGCAACCTTTCTCCATGTTCCCCTTCTGGGGTCCATGTTGAAGTCAAACGGGCCCCAATTGCTCAATAACGGCCCTAACACGGCCCCAAAATGATACAACATGGGTCACCTGGGTCTGTTTGGTTTAGGTTCAGCTTTGGCTCAAGTTGAAGCTAACATGGAGTCAACACAGGGAACATAGCCCGGAAAAGTGTTCCATCGACGCCAGGCTTGCAGCATGTTGGGTTCAATCGGGCTGAAGCTAGATGCTTGGCGGTCACAGACCGGAAAAAGTACGAAAGCCAACCAACAAGTGCACAAAATAGGCTATGTTGGACATTTTGGGGCAACATCTTCGGAACATTGGCTCATCTTGGGTTCGATTCGGCCCAAGTTGGCGCCAAGTGGCCCCAAGTTGAGCCCAGAAGATGTTGCTCCGAAATGTTCTACATGGACACTTTTGTGCACTTTTGAAAACACTATATAGGAAACCAGTCAGAAAGTGATTGTATTATGCACGTTTTTGGGTCGCTGACTTCCCCTCCCTTAGCTATATAAGTTAACTGAGCACTACACTACGTGCTATTGGGCTGGAACTATGACATGAGTTGACTACTCCTCAGCACCTTCAGTGCGGGTGGATTATGGAAGAACAGAGTCAACATGCTAGCAAAGTACGTTGCACATCCAGATCTTGAGATGCACATTCAAGCTCAAAGTACGAGGACACGGCCAGCCATGCCATGAGGCGCTCTGTCTCCAACTGGGAGAGCTGCAATGCAGCATTGCTTTGCCTGCAAATTGTTGGCCATATGAGCCCTAGAGCCCGAAACAATTCCCGCATTGTGGACGACTTTGTCCATTGCACACCATGCCTGGCCTCTCAAGCAAGAGTTGCTTTTGGATGAACTCCGGAAGGCTTCGGAATAATGCTGCAGACCTGGAGTTCTTTGCAACCAAGATCGAATTGAACCATCTTTTTAGCCCGAGGTGCCCTGCCTCCTTACTTACAGTAATTAGTAGGCCCGGTGCCTACTTAATTCAGTAAGGGCTAAAGTAGCTGTTGAGTAGGATGCTACTAGCTACAGGATAGCTCACGCTTCTTCAAGGAAGCTCCCCCACCCGAAAGCACCCGAGGGCAGGGAGCTTCCTTGAAGAAGTGCTCGCACTATTCATTTGGTTCCTAGACTTTTAGGACAACCTCTGAGCTCTAAGAAGCCAGCCATGTTGTCAACTCTGGCAAGACCTTTGAATGACATGACGAACAAGCCAACGCCAGAACTCCTGCATTATTGCCCTGGCCTTGTCCACTGTACTGGGCATTGGCACCCCCTTTCAAAATGCAAAAACAATATATATATATATAACATATATATAATATATATAATATAATATATATATATATAATATAATATATAATATATATAACATAATATACAATATAACATATAATATTGCACACGTGCAAATAATATCTGCAAAAATGCGCCTCCAGCTCTGCAATCAAAGTGCGGAACTCAGGAATGGCGGCCTTGGTTGATCACACAGTGCTGAGCCTTTGATTACAAGCCTCTTCAGCACCAGCTGAGGGTGGCAAAATTCGCTGCGAGCTAAGCACCGCACCAAAAGACCCTCTGCAACCACCACAGTGCCTCCCGCGAATGACTTTATGCTACTCTACGTAATCGTTCTTCAACAAATTTGATCATTGACAGCTGCTATTAGCTTGTGATTGAGGACGACTCGCAACATCTAAGCGCAATGCCAAAATTCTTGCCGTCGTCTGCCCGAGCTGAAATCACCTGCGAAACTACAAAATAAGAGGCAACACAGGCCAATGTGCTTCATACAAAAAGGACTTGGAACAAGTGTGAAACGAAGTAAATTCAGCTTGCTCAGGCATGAGCATCTGCAATGCCAGATACAATTTCGCGCAGGTTGTTGCGGTGGTCATCCACCTAGAAAGCATGGTGATATCAAAAGACACAATGCATTTGAGAGGTCATCACAGTTGTATATTATATTGCAGCAACGTGCCGACCAAATTTATCAAAATGATTCCTACACATGAAAAAAATCATGGCCGAGACCCGTCCTCTACTAGACTGAACATGCTCTGAGCATGTATTCACAAACATGAACGGCAACCTCCTCTGTGAGCAGCAGCAAATTGGGCTTGGTTTCCAGTGCGACTTCCAAAGCGACGTGGGACGTAGGAACCTTGCCTGCCATGGTATACATGATATAATATTACAGGGTATAAATATGTACATTTGCACGAGTTTTGCACTTCACCTCTGGCTTGTGAACTCATGAGGTTGTTCCCTACCTCCCGTTGTTGAGCCATCCATGAGCTTCAGGAAGTAGTAGTATTTCCTAGCGCTTGAACCTGCCATGATCCGCATGATCCAAACAATGCGTGAGAGAGCATTCCTTTCCAATCCACACGAACATGTTGAGCAGGGCACCATCAATTGCAGTGTTGCCCACCTGCAGCACACTTCACCATGGCATTCAAGTTATCACGGTACTTTCTCGCTTGTTGCGTCCACATCAAGCTCTGCAAGTAACCACTCCACTTACAACTGGAGCCCCTGCAAACAAACACTCTCAACCAATGACAAGTTGTGAGCAGTGAGTCTGCTCAGACTCGAGCTAGTTGTGCCATGGCTTTGGCATTTGAATCGAACCCCAAGGACCTGAGGACTTGACACTTGTTCAAAAAAATCGAGTAAATGAGTAGATGTCCAAAAGGACAAGTAGAAGAGACGCCACTGAATTCTAGCAGTCAATCTTTTTTGTGATTAGGATGAGGAAGAGAACCACTACCTTCCAGTACCTCCAAGTCTACAGGCCACGTGTTCTGCAACTCTGCCACTAGCCGTCCCTTGACCCCTAAGCTTACAAAATCTTTCATATGGTAAGGCCAGAATCCTTGATTTTTAAACAATCAACAAAAATCAATGGAAAAGTCACAGTCAAAAAAATCAAATTGAACAGTAAAAAAAAAATAAACCCAGTCAAACATAGACCACAGCTGGAAAAAGTAAAACAAATCAAAACAAATCGGAAACAACTCGAAAAACAAGTCAAAATCAAAAATCAACTCGAAACAGTGAAAAAAACAATCAAAAAATCAACCACTCGAAACACACACAAAACATCGAAAAAAAACCAACAATCAACAAACAATCGAAACAATGCAAAAACAAAATCAATAAACCGTCCAAACAAAGTCGGATCTGGGCAAATTGATTTATTTTGACTTTCTGACACTTTCTGATTGTTTTTTTGCCTTTGACTTTTGGGATTGACTGTTTCCCCAATAGCCATGCTATGGGGTCTTGCAAAACTAATAGGCGGACGGGCGCCGTCGGGTCACCGTCAGAGCTGGTGGGCGGATGGTGTCCCGGTCATGTTGTGACGGTCTCCCGGTCATGTTGTGGTGGTGTCCCGGTCGTGTTGTGATGGCGTCCCAGTCGTGTTGTGATGGTGTCCCGGTCGTGTTTTGATGGTGTCCCGGTCATGTT